GTTGCAACTACCCAGCCAGAGGCCGCAAGTCCTGGGGTTCAGTTGACAGAGTTACTCACAAAATTTGGGGAAATGGCATCAGAAATGGCCGCTCAGAAGAAGTTGATTGACGAGCTTGTTAGTAGCGGAGTGCAACCTGAGCCTGTACCCGCTACACAACCACAATCCGAACCATTTGTTATTCCTCCATTTCAAACCACGTTTGAGGGAACTTTTAACCCGTAATATGCTTTTACTCAAAATCCTCCTTTCTACCCTCCTTATGGTCAAGGATTTCCACCTCAAAGCGACCCAAACATGCATTTGAACCCACCAGTTTTTTTATCAGCCTACCGCCGAACCCGTTGTGCCGGAGCACACTTTCCAAAATAAGCCTGAAATGGGTGAATCTTCTGCTCCAATTGATATGAAGTTGCTCAAACGCTTGGATCGTTTTGATGAATTTATCCGGAAAAGCCAAGGTTTAAGCAAGCAAGGGGTGTTGGATTATGATGATTTGTGCTTGTTTCCGAACGTGCAGTTGCCTGAGGGGTTCAAAACCCCTAAATTTAACAAATATGATGGGACGGGTAATCCCAAGACACATCTCCGACTATTTGCCAACAAATTGGGAAAGCCCGTGGACGATGAGAATTTGCCTTTAAGGTTGTTCCCCGAGAGTCTGGAAGGGGATGCGCTTGACTAGTATTCTAACCTGAAGCTTGAAGACGTGAAAACCTGGATTGATTTGTCTAATGCATTTGTGAGACAGTACGAGTACAACTGCGAGTTGGCTCCGACCCGAACTACGTTAGAAGGAACGAAAAGGAAGCCTTCTGAGGACCACAAGACCTATGCCAAGAGGTGGAGGAAAATAGCTGCAAAGGTCGGGCCACCAATGACCGAGGATGAAATCATTCGCACATTCATAAAGGCGCATGATCCTCCATATTTCGAAGAAATTTTCCGTATGACTGGTTGTTCTTTTGCTGCAATTGTGAATAAATTGGAAGAGTTTGATGACTTTGTGAGAGCCGGAAAAATTGTTAATGTCTCTGCTCTCAAATCCCAGTTGGATGCTTTACAAGGTCAAGGAAGCAATGTGAAAAAGCTGCCGTTCAAAAAGAAAGAGGGGGATGCAACCTTTATCTGGAACCAAAAACCTTCACCCAGACCCCGATACCAACACAACCCAATCTACCAACTCCATTACTCTTACTACTCAAATCTGCATCCTGTATATACTACCAATATCCACCACCCTCGACCTCGCCCAAGCTATTCGAACCCACCTTCAGCCCCTTTTCAAATTTCCCAACCAAATCCACCCCAAAACCGACCTCGCCCTCCATATAACCCAAGATTTCCTCCACCAAATAGACCTGTTTACAACCATCCTCAACCTCCTGAACCTTACAACCGACCACCTAGCCGTACATTCACCAATTTAGGCAGGCCTCTAGACCAATTGTATGACCAGTTGAAGGCTGCCGGAAAAATTGGTACGATTCCCCCTCCGACCTACCCTTATGGCATGCCTACTGGGTATAACCCACAAGTCGTCTGTACTTATCATTCAGGGGCACCTGGACATCCGACGGCCAATTGCTGGGCGCTTAAGCATAGAATTCAAGACATGGTTGAAGCCGGAGAGATTGTAATCAGAAAAAGGGAGGCACAAGCGCCAAATGTGGATAAGAACCCCCTGCCAGAATATAATAACACCATTGGGGTTATTATGGACAATACGAAATTTAAGGAACCTGCTAAAAACTCATCAAGTGAGGCTGAAGTGTTTGGAAATGACGCAGAATTTCCCGATATCCCTGAGGGATCAATTTCCAATCGGACAGCCGAATTTCTACCCATTCAGAAGGAGTTTCGGTAAACCTAAAGGGGGTTTGTCATTCATGCGAATTCATGAGGAAAAAACTTTTGCATCTGTCTTTACTTTTGACCAAAATTTGCGCATGTAAATATTTTTAAGTTTTCATTTCATTTCCGTTTGCTTTCAATCAAAGGTTTTATGAAAATGAATAAGTCATTCTTGTCATGTTACTTTGGTTTATTCGTTTGTTTATATTTCGGTCATATTGCTTGTTCATTTGTTTGTTGTATATTTGTTTGCTTATTATCCCAAATTCGTTAATTCTTTCAGATGGCCAAAAATAAAAATATTTGACCCTTTGGATATCACTTTTCTGGAATTCAATAATGGCAATTTTTATCACTCACGATTTGAGAATTTTGAATCCAAATTTTAAAGCGAGAGTGATAATGAAAAAGTATTTGATTTTTGAACAACATGAGGAAAAATTCGAACCAAACCTAGAAACCACAGCAATTGTTCATATTGGCACTGAGAATGGAAAAATGGAAAAAGAGAAAAAACATCATCATGAATCAGCATTCGTTTGGACAAAGGCAAAAAAGAAGATGATTAAGGGTTTGACTATATGTCAAGATGTACAGATGGTTGGAAGCAGTCTCGTTTGCAGTCGCGGAAATTCTATCTTTGTACACTCTAATCGGAGTTCGACCAAAGAATGCCGTTTGTCATGGAATGTTACAAATGCATGGCCCGAGCCTACAACAAGAAGTTTCATCAGCATACATTTTGAGGAAGGCGGCGAAGCACTCAAGCAAACTTTGCCAATATAAGACGAAGGCAGAGGCAAATTTGGTCAAAATTGGCAAGGGCCGTTCATTATCCAAAAAGGATTACCTGGCGGGGCGCTTATTTTGGCAGAAATGGATGGACGGACATCTTCTCAACCCATCAACTCGGACATGTGTAAGAAGTTTTTCATTTGATCATGCAAAATTTCTTTTAGAAATTCACGCAAACGGCGAAATGCAAGTCAGGCCATCTTCTTTTACACTTAAAACATTTTATCCCTACTTGTCCCCTTTGAGCCGTCAGAATTGACAAATTTTCGCTTGATAACCCCTGAGAATTGCAAACCCCACACTGGGGCAAATTCATTTTGAAAAGAGATGATCAGAAAGAAAAGCAAAACCCCACACTGGGGCAAATTTATTTTTGAAAGAGAGATGAAAAAAAAAAACCCCACACTGGGGCAAATTTAGTTTTGAAGGAAAATGCAAAAGTGAGGAAAATGCAATGAAAATACAAAGAAAAAAAAAATCCAATCAAACTGGGGTAAATTTTCCTTGGTTTCGTTCAAAAATTGGAGATAATTTCAAAATGATGCAATCGCAGGTTATTCCACACCTTTCATCAAATTTGCTTTCAAGCTTCAACTTTTCTTGAAAACACCCCACCTGACCTCATTACAAAAGCCCAAAGTCCTGGTTTTCGTCACTTGCTGCATTTCTATTAGAAAATTTGCTGATCAACTGGCAGGTGATGTCCGTAATGTCTTCGCCTAATCTCATAACGGAAGTACATTTTACTGATGCCAGAAATCTTTAATTCATGTTTCTGAGTCGATCATGGTCGAGATATTTCATGGTTCTTTAGGTGAAAACCCGAAAGGGCGCCTCGAAAAAAAAAAGAAGAAAAAAAAAAGAAAAAAAAAAGACAAAACAAAAACAAAAAGGGGTGGGGGCAACCTTGGTGAAAACTCGAAAGGGCGCCAAGGCAGGTTTTCTCAACAAGACAAGCTCGAGAAGGAACAGCTGGTGACCTGGTTCATTTAGGGTTTTCCTCATATTTGTGATACTTCTGCCAGTATCGAATTCCGAAGAAAAAAAATATCCAAAGTCTTGAATATGATTTTCGTTGGCTAAACTTGTATTGTTCTTTACAAATATTCTTTTGCAAAATGTATCTTTATAAACCTCTTGGTTTTCTCTCGACTATTTGTGTTCAATTGTTATTGGATTGACTGCATTCTTTTGTGTGCTCATCTTTGCCTGACATAGAAAATCATCTTACATATACATTGTTTTTATGATAAATTTTTCATGCATCATTCTTTCAGCATTGAATTCAAATGAATGATAAACCCTACGGTTGGTGCAAAGATAGGGGATTCAATCATCTATTATAGTGAGTAACATGCAACAAAGCTGTCACCTAGGTTGGGCGACGTGATAAATCCGTATTTTATCAGTCTCAAAAATTGAAAGGTTTCAAGTTCGATTAAGGCAGACGCATCAGAAAAGAGGCAAAAGCATCACAAGACTCATGTTTACACGATTTTCAAGGCAAACCGGATCAAATGATGGTGGCAAGTCCATTATTTCTTCTTTTCTTGCAGGAACGTTGCATTTACAAACAAAAGCGGCCACTATCCTTTTGGCATCTAAATCAACGACAGGCAAAGCTTCCCAGTAAGCAAGGATCGATGTTATTTGCAAAGCTCGATCATAAGAAACAACATTAGCTATCGCTTCAGTCACAGAGATCCAAATTTCCCTATTGGTACAAAAGTTGAATTATTCTCAGGTAAAAAACTCAATTCATTGTTTAAACTTCCCCAATGCAGTCCCACTTTAAATTCTGTTCGGGTCAGTCCCGTTTAAATTCTGTTCGGGTCAGTCCCGTTTTAATTTCTGTTCGGGTCAGTCCCGTTCAAATTCCTGTTCGGGTAAGTCCCGTTTAAATTCTGTTCGGGTCAGTCCCGTTTAAATTCTGTTCGGGTCAGTCCCGTTTAAATTCTGTTCGGGTCAGTCCCGTTTAAATTTCTGTTCGGGTCAGTCCCGTTTAAATTCTGTTCGGGTCAGTCCCGTTCAAATTTCTGTTCGGGTCAGTCCCGTTCAAATTCTGTTCGGGTCAGTCCCGTTTAAATTTCTGTTCGGGTCAGTCCCGTTTAAATTCTGTTCGGGTCAGTCCCGTTCAAATTCTGTTCGGGTCAGTCCCGTTTAAATTCTGTTCGGCTTTTATGTCTCCTTTTCCTAGTCCAGGTTGAGTTGTTTAGTTTGGCAGTAAAACACTTTTGTGTCTATTTGTTGCTGGAGTTTTGAAGTTTTTGCAACCACAGGCTCTTTTTTTCTCCTTGATATTAAATGTTTAACTCAGATCGCTGAAACAATGATTTTGTTGAAATCTTTTGACATGAATTGCAGGGGGTGGATCAACTACATATTGCCATCAATTTCTGTAATATTTGCAGGTTTTATGATCTGGCAAAGGTATACCAGCAAAAGGAGGCCACTGGAAGCATTTAAAATCAAAGCTCCTCCAGTAAGAATGCAGTAGAGCAGCTTGTAACATTGCAAGAAGCTGTCCTTCACGTTGAGGGCTTGATTCAGAGTGGCAATGTTGTTCTACTGAAACTACGGCACTCCTTTTTGCTATAGTACCCCAGGTATGCCTTTCATCCTCTTTGTATGCAAACTTGATGACTCTGAATTTGTTGACGTATTATGTGGGCGTATATCAAAGATTCTATCCTCATTTACAAAAAAAAAAAGATATACAATGAAACAAGAGTATGAAGAGATATTTCTAATGTTACCTTACAGATATTAATAACTCAAAAAGAAGAAAACAGGATACTAACTTCCAGCTTTTTAAGTTCTTTTTTCAACTATCACCAATTTATTAGTGGAATTGACTTTTCTACAACTTGTCGACAAGCTTTATATGATATTTTTTCATCTATAACTTCTGATAGCACTTTCCTTACTACTATGATAAATTATGTGCAAGGACACTATGGAGTCTAGTTGCTGGAGAGCCCAATGACATAGCTATTCAGCATATCAGAATAAACTGATTGTCATTCTCTGACTTTGAACGATGTTGCTTTTATGGATTTAGTTGATGACTTTAAGAAATGATTGCAACAATTTCCTATTTAGGAGTACCATCTAACTTCAGGGACAACTCTCTGAACCTTGACAGCCAAGACATCATGTAGGAAAAGATAATTTGTTGAGAAGATGGGGCTTTAAACTTCCAAGTTAGATGGCACTTGAGGGCTTGCTAAAAGAATTTGGAGTATACAGATATAGAGACAGATTTCTGCTTTACTTCAAAGGATGGATGGGATTCCTAGGTTCTTATCCGATCAAGTAGAAGGCTCAATCTGTGTATTTCGTAGCACCCTATTCATATCTTGTGCCTCTATTCTTGAAGTAATATATGCAACTCCTGTTAAGATGTTGAACAATGCCTCTTTATGAATAACATATGGTAGCTAGTGAGCTTGATGCTATGATGCTTGATCTTCACTGAAAGTTTGTCTGCACCATTTCAACTCTGTCTTTCAAGTTTAGATGTCTTTGCTATGGGAATCCTTGGGATGTCTATTTCCCAAAATTTCAACCCATTGTCTATTTCTGAAATTGACCTTATACCTCAACTAGGCTGAAGCAAATGCTAGCTATGGAAAAATTGGCCCCCATTAAGGTGCATCTACAATGCGACTTGTTCAGTGTGTAAATTTTGTCTATATCTCGTTACCATATGCAAAATGAATTGTATGTGTGATGGAAATCATATTCAGTTTGAATGAGTACAGGATGTAAAGTGATTCCGAGTTGATTTATGGTTACCTTAAAGTGATTCTAATAATAGTAGTCCTAATTCAAAATTGCTCAGTCTTTTGGCAAAAAGAGCATTACAATCACCAACAAATTTCATTGTTCTGGAGTGCTAGTTCCATTTATTTGATACTCATTCTTTCTCCCATCCTCAGGCAACAGACACAGTTGCGCTCTCATTGATTGTCATAGCTGTGGCTCTTGCATTTGTGCCTCTCAAGTACCTCTTCCTATTAGCTTTTGTAGAGTCCTTCACAAGAAATATGCCCGCAAGAAAAGAAAGCAGCGAAAGATGGTTCAGGCGTATGAGAGAGTGGTGGTTAAGGATACCAGCAGCTCCTGTTCAACTTGTAAAAGTTGAGGACAAGAAGAGGAAATGAGTAGGATGACAAACATGACTTGCATGTAAATAGAAGTTGCAAGATTGTTATATCCCTAAGCAAATCATCTCCGTAATTGAGTTTTGTTTGACTGATAAACCATGATTTTCATTATTTTCGTAGGTTCTTTTTTTTTTTTTTTGTCTGACAGGACAAAAAGAAATGGAACATTTCAGGTTCCTCTTTTTGTGGACACGAAGCTGTGGACGACCTACAGTTTGAGCATACTGTTTCCGAGTTTTGTGTTTCGGAATACAGTAGATTGAGGCATTTTCCTGTGATTGTTGAAAAAGTTTAAATGTAAATGAATGAGAATTGTTCTCCGTCAGTGCTAAACTTGCCATCTGCAGTTTTTCCAGCAATCGATATCTGCAGCTGAAGCTTATATATCATTCTCAGTCCCATGGGACAAATGTCCAAAAGAAAATTGCTTTTGGATTATATATTTGGAGCTAACTGCTAAGTGCACTTGCAATCCCCAAAGCTTGTTCTGCAAACCTAGTTTGTTTTTTCAAGTTTTGGACGTACGTATTGCCACTTAAATCTCTGAGTAGAATTAACCATAGACAAGGAAAGGTGGAGAATCAGTAAATACGTGAAGGGCATATGTGCGCTAAGTCCCTTTCTTTGAAATTTTTTTTTTCCCCTTCAACGGGATAGGGGTGAGGGGAGAGAGAAGGGGGATTTACTTCTAATTCTTGGGTTCTCAATTTTAGGCATAAGACTAATACCTACTCGACCAGAGTCCCTAAATTCTCACTTAAATGAGATACGGAAATAAAGGCTAGGACTTGGCTAGAACATAACCGTAGCATAAATCAGACAGATGAAATCCAGAGAGAGTTCTTGGATTATGTAGCACTAAAAGAGTAGTTCAAAAAATTAGAACTGAGAAGAATATTACTCATGCCCGCCTACAAAGTTTAGAATTGCCATTGCAAACACACCAAACTATATATTTGCTTAAGTAATATTTTTCTGCAACATTAGACGTACAATCATTCTCTCCAATATTGTGTTGTTCAGCTTAAATTACGCTAATTATTGCCATGTACATTTACAGTAAGTATAAGCAACATAGATGCTTCACTCGTCACGGACATAGACATTTCATTCATCACTCATTACATGATGAAAGTGTTGGACTTTGGTGGCCTATTGCAATCTGCAGGGCTCCAACCTATTGCTCCTTTCTCATTGTCATAAATCACCATCTTGTCCTGCATTGATATATCTACACGAGATGGCAGAGCAATGTAAGTGCAAAAGACAACTTAGATTGGAAAATGTGTAAACTAACTGCTTTACGAAGTAATCCACATAATTTGGGGCGTGGACCAATTATATGAATTAGCCATATTGAACTACACACGAGGCATGAATTTAACCTCTCCCTTTAAGATTTTGCGTCTAGCTGTCTACTTTCAGACAATGGTTAGGATTGGAATATTACCTCCAATGATGTTATCATTCTGCCGCCCTATCTCTGTGCCATTCAGTATTCCTAAGCAAGCATTGCCTTTTGACTGGAGAAAAATCTAATGTCAGTATATATATATATATATATATGAGTAGATAGTTTAAAGAGTTAAGAAGAATACAAGGACACAAAATATTGGTGCTCTTACAGAGATGATAAGATATGCATCAGGGGGTATTCAAATTGAGTTCTAACTCTCTGGCCATGGTGGAAGCTCAACCTAGAGGCTTGAAGTATTTCCTTACATCATGGACGCTCTTGAATGGTTTCCTGCCTTTCCAGCATTCTGGTAAAGTACGATCACCTCTGTCTGCTTTCAAGGGCTTCCCCTTCAGATCTTTTTCTATCTATAAGCATTAGGTCAATCACTAGTTTGCAACTTATAGTAGACATGATGCCTCAAAGACCGGTAAATTACATATAGTGAAGTAGCAAATCTGTTAAAAGTATAGATGCGCTAAACTCAGGTCTGCTTGTACTAGGAAAGGGGGTTGAAAGTCTTTTGCTCAAGGCATGCAGATTCATGAGTCGTTGCTTTATGGAAAGCATTCTTAACCTAGCAGACTGAATAATTCACACAAGATGAAACGCAGTATTTATTTAGTTTAATGATTGAAAAGATGGAGCTGCCTGAAAGAAAGAAGCATGAGTATTAATTCTCATACCAAAGAAATTATAGCTCGATATGCTTGAGAGTTCAGGTAACTGTAAGAACTCCCGCTGTCAAAGATAACATCAAGATTTTTAATTCCCACACCTTTTCCACCAAATGTGAGTTCTGCAGAACTGACTGAATAGTGTTTTCTGTCAAAAATAACAAGTTGAGAATCTCTGAAAAAAGGTGACAAGTCGCAAATTCTTGCATAAATAAATGGAGGTACATTACTGTGCACACTATAATGTGTCTGTGAAAGCTGAATGAGTATGCATTACGTGGAATCTCGTGACATCGGTGTCCAATTTACTTGAGAAGCATCATAAAGATCATCCCAATGAAAAGGAATCCCCCTGTCGCATTTAGACAGTGGCCTATAATATTTCTGACAATCCCCTGATTATGGAGCTGTGACACAATGCTGGAGTTCCCTTTCCCAAGGCCCAGTACTCCATCTAAAGGAGGAGTATATACATCAGGCAGTTGATCATAGCCACACCTATAGACAAAAGATCAGCACAGAACCATTCAATTCATTGGTTGTTGTCTGAAGGAAGAAATTCAAGATACCCAACTGAATTCAACATTGAAACAAAAATTCATTTGTATAGTTCACAATCATTAGCTGTTTATCATCTGCATCCCTTTAAAAGATTCATTTACATTGGATTAGTCCACAGAAAATTTATATAACACCATTTCATTTTTTTTGGCTATAGGAAATAATCTGCATTCGATATTCACATCACAAATCTATGGGCAACCTGGACACTCAGATGAAAAAGTAATATAATTTCCTTGAATAAATTACGGGACCTGCTATAATTTCCTGATCATATAACCTCTCTCAAGATCCTAATCATACATACATACATACATACATACATACATATATATTCCCTATGCATATCTATCTGCACTGAAAGTTGCAGTGATAACCAGGAAACTATAAAAGAATACCAACATTGCGAAAGATGGATAGACTACATAAGAGCAGAGTATGTCAAGAGAAGAAGCTGTTGTACTCACCCAAAAGCAAGGCGAAGGCCCAGTCGAATTCCAGTGGTAAGGTTTAGAGAAAAGACATCGTTGACTAGAACCCCAAGGATGAACCTCCATCTGCATACTCAACTTCATAATCACATTGTTCTGGATTGGGACATTCGTAGGCACCTGAGTGCAAAGAAGCACACAACGGGTCCCTACAAACAACAAGATCATTTGTTGGCCGATATAGCGGTGAGGTGCCTACAAGATCAAGAGCAATTAGACTTAAAAAGCAGTATCAAATAGGTAGAGTTTGGTCATGAAATTGGAGAAGTTTTCAGAAATTTCTGTAATACTTAATTACAGAAGACTGCTGGAAGAAGTCAGGGCAACTAGTGGAAAGTGTTACATGGTAAAATGCATTTATCATCAAAGTATATGAAAGAGCAACTAGTGCAAGCCATCATGCTTGATTGCACATTATCCAATAATTTATTGCATGGAAGATAGAAACATTAGTAATACCTCAGTGCAATGTACGCAGGGAGCATCACATTGAAGCCAGATACTGCCTGTATCAGGATCAGAAAGTAGGGCTTTGGAGGCTGCCCTACATTAACTTGAGCAAAGTAAAACCTGCAGAACATACTCAGGCAATATGATCTTGTGGCTGAGAAAAGCAACACACTTGAAAATAAGGTTGACCAAAAGAGAAGTTTCACATTGCATCAAACTTAAAACTGCATTCCTATAGTAATCAAATCATGAAAAGCTCGTACATTTCGCACATGTCCGTTTTTTATCCATTTAACTGCAGCTTTTTGCATCTTCATTTTCTTTTCTTAGTGGATGGTTAAGCACATGAGATTCTCATCTAAACATCTGGAAGTAAATCACAGATTTCTGCATTAAATAGTTATGTTCCTTTGACATGCACAGGACAAACCTAATTTGTGAGCCAAATAACAAACAAACAATTTTGCAACTAGTAAAGTAAAATTATGATGAGAAGTCCAAGTTATGAAATTGATGCATATTTCTACGAAAGTTTAAACCTCTTTTCTTAGAAAGACTAGCGAATCATCAAGATTTCAAGGCTAATAATGAGTAAGCAAACATATTATGAAAATCATAAGCTATAATGTTATGCTATTGGGTTATGTATCCCTAATCAACAGGGAAATACAAAAGAACAAAAATACTAGAAATTTGCTATAGCATAAGAAAAAGAAATGGTGATGAAGCTCTGCAGAGTTACAACTTATGTCTATATGTGGCTCAATCAATTTATACACTTTAAGAGCCCAAATTTTGGGTAAAAGAAAAATGAAACTAACAGAAATGACTATGCAGGGAGGTCATCAAATAAAACAGAGTTGCAGGGAGAAAATTTTTCAAGAAGTCGAGATATTTAGAACAAATCAAATTCATTAACTCCAATTAAGAATGCAGGACATAAATGAACATTAAGTCTAATTCCCCTGTAGATTATTATGTAAACTCCTGTACAGACAAGAACTTGAGATATTTAGCACACAATCCAACTTTTATTGACAATCAATCAAGAATAGAAAGTAAAAATTCACATACCCATCAGGATAACATTGCCATAGAGTTTGAACAGGACAGAGGAATAAGAAGAAACTGGATTGGCCTCCGAGGAAGAAGCTTCTTTACTGACTCTGGACTTCCATTTGCACCACTTTTGCAGCTGATCCCTTGAACCCTCTACAGAAAAAGCAATTCCCAATAAAACCATCATCATCATTATCACTTTTATCTCTCCCATTTTCCTCTCTAGCAGCAGAATCATTACTCTCTCAGCCAGTAAAGGAACAGAACAAAACCCAAGTAGCTAGTAATCTACCCTCCAATGTCCATGACTTTGAGACTTATATTTGAATTATCTGAAGGGGTATTAGCTTTGCTTAAAAGATGAAAACAGGTATATCACTTTCATTGATTTACCTTCTTTCATATTCCATGTTGATGCTATTACCTTTCTTGCATATCAATTGATTCCTTGGTAAACCATGCATGTTATTCTTTGCTTTTGATAACTCCTAGATTCTGTTGGCATCATGGGATCAACAATGATTGAATATTCTAGAAGCTAAAATGAAGCAACTGGAGGATTAGCTAAAAGAAAGATAATTAAAAGCCTAAGTGTAAGTTTGGCCGTAAATCTGGAGTTTAAATATTTACA